ACTGCATTGCCTCCAGGTAAGAATGCTGCTACGAAGGCAGGGCAAACTGAAGAATTTCCCCAGATCATGCACACTTGTCTGTTTCTTATCTCTTCACATCTCAACTCCAATGACATCTCCATGGAAAGACCTTCCCCAAGCACCCAGCTAAAGGCCCAGTTATACTCCCTTTCATTACTTCATTAAAGTTTATTGGCCCTCTGAAGGTGCTGATGAGCACCTGAAATTATTTTGTTACATGTTTCTTGTTTGTGTCACAGGACTGGAATGTAAGCTTATATAAGGAGCTCTGCAATCCTTTATATCACTAACACTGAAAGAGAACTTAGCACATAGTTGATGCTCAATAAATATTTGTTGACACTGACCTGTTGTCTCAGTAACAGCCACAAACGTGTTCAACTGCAACACACAGAGTGGATAGTGGATCTGAATAATGGATTCTATTTAGGGCTTTATATTGTCTTGAAGACTATAGGCTATTGAATTACCTTTCTATATTTACATTTGTAAAACATCTCTAATTTCTGAGAAATTACTAGGAAAGAGCCAAATAACATGCATAAAGCACTTATTTCTCTTCTAAGCTCATACTACATTTCACCTTCATCTTCAAAGTCACTTTAGAATCAAGATAAGAAGGGTGGTTCATTTTTCAAAACACAATTTCCTTTAATGGTAGATCATAAATTGACTCACACTAATGAGTTTCAGACAGATACTTTTGGCTACTGAGCAAATCATGAATAAAAGCTAGCACTGACAGCAAAGTTTCTGCCTCATGGTGATGCTCAGCTGCCCTCTAGTGTGAGTTAGTTTTCACATTCATGCTTTGCTCAGCACATCATGTGGTTAAGATTCTACAATGCATTTTAGTGGACAATCAGCAGATCTATGAAAAATGGTTAAAAAAAGACTGTGGAACAAATGAATGTAAAGGATCACTGGTTCCCCTCTGAGCCATTATGTACAAGCAAAAAGTGCAAATTAGGTAAGAGCCTGCAGTTAGAGGATGCGAAGCTCTTTGGAATACTACAAAATGTGTATTATGTATTTTGAAAATGCCCCTATCCCATTAATAACTATTTTTCAATTTAATTTTTAAAAAGTTAGTACATAAGGATAGTTAAAAAATTAGGACTATGAAAAGTTATAGACTGAAAAGCTGTTCCTACACATTCTCCTCACCCTCACAATTAACCACCTATGTAGTATTCTAAGAGCTTTTAACATACCAAGCAAATAAGGTATGTTTTCATTCTTCCCACTTTTAAAACAGTCCACATGCTGTGCTATGCTGTTAATTCCTCATAATAGTAAATCCTGTCAAGCTGTCCATAAAAGTTCATGAAGAGTGTCTTCATTTTGTAAAGAAACAGATGTAATATACTGTAATTGCATAGTTGTACCATAACTTACCACTCCCCAAATGACAGCTTATGAGTGGTTTCCAATCTACTGCTGTTGCAAATAAGGCTGAAATAAATAATCTTGTACAGGTGTGATTTCCAAATTGCACACATACGTCTAGAATAAATTCCCAGGAATGGAATATGTTGGACCAAATTACTAATTTATACAGTGTTTGCTATGAGCCAGGTGCGAATCTAAAGCACTCTAAGTATATTATTCATTTAATCTTAATAATCCTATAAGGGAAGTATTATTATTATTGTTGTTGTTATTATTGTTATACTATCTAAAAGCTGAGAAAGCAGAGGCATGAAGAGGGTCAGTAACCTGCTCAAAGTCAGATAACTAGCAAGTGGCATCCTCAATCAACCTAGCTCCAAGGAGTATATTTGAATTTTAAATAGACATAAACAAACTGTCCTCTATACTGGGCATACTGATTTATTCTCTTGCCCACTTCACTGCACTTTTTTGCTTACATGTTCATCAAACTTTGAATTTTAATTGTTTAATCACAAGAGAAAAACTGACTCTCAAATAGGATTAATTTGCATTTCTTTTATAATCACTGAAGTTGAGTATCTTCTCAGATGTTTAACAGCCATACACATTTGCCTACACTTGCCTGTCCATACACTTGCCTACCCATACACTTTCCCATTCATATCTTTTTTGTATCTTCCTATTGGGATTCTGGTTTTTTTCCTTACCAATTTTGAAGAGATATTTCTTTATTAGTGATATTAGTGTTTAATCTGTCATCTTAATTAGAAATATTTTTCCTAACTTGTTCTTTACATGTTGACCTTGCTTATGTTTTTCTGGTAGAAGTTTTTTGATATTTATGAAATCATAAACATTCATAAAACTTTATATCTATTTTTGTGGTTTAATTTTAAACAATTAAATATTTGATCCACTTGGAATTTACCTTGCATGATATAAGATATAGATAAAACTTGATTTTTTCCCTGACAGGGACCTATTTGTTGTTATTTTTAAATAACTATTTTTAAATAGTCCAGGATTTCTTCACTCATTTGATATGCTGCCTGCTGCCTTTATAAAATCACAGTATTCGTAATATATTTTCATATGCAATTTGGCTCTATTTCTATACTATTCTGTTCCATTTTGGTGTCTATATATGCATTAATATCCTAGTACTTAATTATTGAGGCTTTATAATACATTATTTAGTAGTGCTAGATGCTCTCATTACTCTTAATTTCCATAGCTTTATTGAGCTTACCTATATTTCATTTGAACTTAATAACCACCTTGTCAACTTTCATTTTAAAAATCCCAGACGACATATTTATTGGATGAGATTATTATTGGAAACCTTCTCCAATACAATATACTACCTCTGACCCTGCCAGATTCAGCTGGACACTATGGTTGCTACAAAATGATGTATTAAAAATTAATGTTGTGCTTCCTGACTGTGAAAAGATAACTGACTCACTCACTCAGTGACTGACTTATTCGCTGAGTGACCACTGCTGAGTGACTTACTCAGCAACAGATGTCATCTAACCATTCAGTGTTCCTAGTTGCATGACATTTGTTATCTCTTTCAAATGAATTACAAAGAGAAAATACATACTCAAATTAAAAAAAATACTATAGCCTTTAATCCTGCCAACTCTGCCATTTCAGCTCCTACCAAAAGTTACCTAACAATCAGTCCTATCAGCCAGTAAAAAATCAGTGCTCTGTGAGTACTGACTTATACCACTCTGAGTTTTAGGTTTCTGATAAAAATCTCCAGGCTCTTTATTCTAGCCCCTTGGTAGTCAAAGCACAGTCCTTAGAAATGCACACTTTGGGTCTCATCTGAGACATCTTTGGTCACCATCTGGATTTTTAAAAAGATTAGAGGTGGTTCACAAGTACTTTAGAGTTTTCCCAGTAAAAGATTAGTAGTTCTCAGAGTGTGGGCCCAATAGCAGCAAAACCATCACCTTGGAACAATGTAGAAAATTCAAATCCTTGGGCTTCATCCTATACCAGTGATGGTAAACCTTTCAGAGCTTTCAATGATAACAAACACCCTCCTGCAGCATGCCTGCCATAGGTTCACCGCTACTGTTCATACCTACTAAGTAAGAAATTTGGGAGGCTGTGTCCAACAATCTATTAAATATATTTTATAAAAAGAGGATGAACTTTTATTAGATCAGTTTTGGAAATTTCAGTCAGTGACTGACTGGCCCTGTTGCTTTTTGGGCCTGTGGTAAGGAGGCCCAAATGGTAGGGGCCATTTGGCTCCATGGTAGGGGCCATCATGGCAGGGGCCACATGGTAGAATGAGGCTGCGTATCTCATGGCAGCTGGGAAGCAAAGGAGAAAAAGAGGAAGAGGCAGGTCGATGAACACCGGGCCCCACCTCTAAAAGTTTCATGACCTTTTAATAGTGTCAACCTGGGGAATCAGCCTTTACATATGAAACATGGAGGGACACTTCATATCCAAACTCCCGCAGGAAAATTCAAAATCTCTCCACTAGCTATTTTGATCTATTTAATTGTTGTCCACCTCAGTTATCTTCCTGTGCTACGGTAGCAATTTGTTTTAATAACCCTTCCAGATGAATGTGACACATACTAATGTTTGGGAGCCAATGATCTCGATTAGTGTTCTCAATCTTGGCTAAACATTAGAATTATGTAGAAAGTGTTGGCAATTACACTTAAATGAATTATATCAGAATTTTAGTGCTTCAGCCAAGGAATCAGTATTGTCCTCTAGTGATCCCTAAGTCAAGCCAAGGCTGAGAAGCACTGCTCTAGTATGGAAAAATGGTTCTGAAACCTGGCTTCACAGTAGAATTACATGTGGAGCTTTAAAAAGCATACTGATGTTGAGGATCTCACCTAGAGATTTATACTGATCTAGGTGAAGTCAAAGGTCACCGTTTATATGAGCTTCTCAGCTGATTCTAACAGCCATTTACTATTGCAAACCACTGTTCCAAAAATGTCCTTTTCCCCACAAGTCATTTAACCAGAACATAGTTTGGGGATGGTGGGAGAAATACATCTTCATTTCCCATCTATTTACTGAGGCCCTGCAGTGTATTAGGCTAGTTACTAGACAGATTAAACATTAAGTACAAAACACACTTCTTGCCCAGACAGAATACATAATTAGTATCAGTGGAAGAGACCTGGGCACGTTTATATATAAATAATGATTCAAAAGGAACACACATTTCAATATACAATATTGAAATTCAATATCGACTATAATTCAATAAAGTTATGCATATCATTATATCACTGTTAAAACTCTTTTCTATTCTTTTTAACAGTAAGAAGGAGGAAATATGTGGTGAAAAAACAATTCTGAATGCAATTAGCTATCAGCATTTGAACCTGGAGAAAGGGAAAAAGTCAATGGTTCCTTCAAATAGTAATCTAAGAATTTAAACACCAAACAAAGCTGAAGTAATTAAAAGTTCCTTCTGGGGCATAACAAAGAGACAATTAGTCATGAAATCACTGGCAGTCACTTCATCCCAATAGGGTCTGTTAAGTTAACTTACAACTATCACCAAAATCAGGACTGGGGATTTAGCTCACCGGCAAAGCGCCTGCCTGGCAAGTGCAACGTTGTGAGTTCGGTTCCCGGTACCAGAGAAAAGTCAAAAAAAAAAAAAAGACTATTACCAAAATTAGCAATTAGGAAATCAGCAATAGAAGAGTTTGTAGTAGATCTTTTTACTCTTTTATTGTTGGAAAGATAATCCTTGGACTATCCACCCCTCCTTCTACATCAGCTTTTTCTAGGGACACTTTTGAAGTAATGAAAAAATACTGTGCTAGTCTGGGATGAATTACTAGCTATAGAATTTTTCACAGATATTGGACTGTTAATTTATATTTAAATGAATAACCAACCAAATTCAAACTTTCTCATGTGTATGAAACCAAAAAGTACAGAACCACTAATATTGTGTTTAAAATGTTGCAGGATGCTTAAGTTCAGCAGTGTTTTCATAATTCAGCTAAATATAGTGCACATATTCCTTCATATTATTAGCAGCTACAAAGGCGAAACTATCACATACTCCTTTAATACTATAAAAGGGTTTCATGCCTGTAATCCCAGGACTCCACTTATCTGGAGGACTGCACATTCACGCCCAGAGGAGGACAGAAAGTTTGGCCCCAACCTGGACAACTTAGTGATTTAGTGAGACACTGCCTCAAAAAATAAAAATAAAAAGGGCTTGGATTGTAGCTCAGTACAAAGGCTCTGGGTGCAATCCTGAGTACTAAAAAAAAAAAGAGTATGTTCAGAAAAATCACAAATGTTCACCCACCTCATTCATCCTGTTCCATAATAAAATACTCTGAGGTTAGAATAGGCTAAAGCACTTTAAATAATACCAATTGAGATACAGAAAATATTACCATAGTAATATTTTCATAACTGAAAATGAACAGGTGATGAATTTTCAAGCTGCTTTTTAATAAGTGGACTGTATGATCCAACCTCGTACTTCTTGTTTCCATGTTATATCCACTATGTGGTAGGCTGATAGGACCTTTATGTGTGCCCATGAAATAGAACTAGGTCTACTTACTTGCTTCAGCAAGTTTTGAATACATCATTTGGAATAGAATTTACCTTTGAAACAATCATATGAGAAAAAGATGGAAATTATTTTTCTGGTGGAAAGACTAGGGTTCAATTATGTCATTACACAGGGCAATAAAGGATGGTATGTTGCTGATCAGAGGGGCCAGGAAGACGAGAATCATCTGAAGAATTAAAAAGAAAAATGGCCCATATATTTCCCTGTCATCTTTCTTAAGTGACCTAATATATACACAGACTGAGTTGAGAATTACCTCTGTATATAAGCTGCAATTATTGACATAAGCATGTCAGGTTACTTCCAATGTGTTGGGACATTTAACAGTGTTGACACCCAATGGAACCAAAGGTAATCAACACAAGAACCAAATGCTCAGTCCTATTTTTTCAATCTAGTGGGACACACAGTTTTAAGAATTCTATGATTCCTTAAAAGGGAGATATATGGGTATACTGAATTATAGCAATTACTCTACCCTTGATGGCTTTTATTTTGCTCTTAAGAACTTGTAGAATAATTCCCCTCATTCTTCAAGAAAGGGCAACATAAGAATGTAATATGGAAGTGCTTGTTTTATCCTGACAAGTGGTTAAAATAACATCATCCTCAAAGGAGGGCTATCTAACCATTTCAAACAAACATGAATTTTAGTTTAGTGTTTAGAAGGAGATTTTTAAGCAGCCACTACGTACCTGTTCTAGATGAGTTTCCCCCCTTTTTTTATTGTGAAGTTGAAGATAAGAGTCTGTTTTAGGAGTTGGTAATCCCAACGTAAGCTTATTTTTTTCCACAAAATATTGTGTAGACTTCCTTCTCCGAGGGCCACGTGATCTTGGGAGGAACACCTCGTTATGTGAACTTGAACTCTTCAGGTACTGAGAGAAGTTGCTTGACTTCTCCTCCTGGTCACTGTCACTTGGCTCTGAAAATGGCTCACTGACCTGGGTTCCAGGTTCATAGTTGGGGCTTAAAAATTCACTTCCAAGTAAGGAGGCTGCACTCTGAGGACTCTTTTTCTGTTTGTCTTTTCCTTCTGGGAGCTCCACTGAATTCTCCTTGGAAGGGTAGAGTGGCACCAAGGGCACATTTTCTGAAGAGCTGTCTGCAGACCCCGACAAGGTTTCCACAACCAACAACTGTGCTTCTTCTTTTTTATTTTTCCAGTTCGGGTCATATCGGAGGTCTGAATATTTGTCTTTTATAAGTTGTTGACTGGCCAAAGCAGAAACGAAATGGCAAGTCCTTAATCAAAATAAATTCACTCACTGCACTCAGTTGGTCATTCAAAACCAATCTTACTCTCCTCTGATTTCTCTTTTACTACGTATATGTTAAAGATATGTCTGGAGCTCATATTAGGCCCACACACTATACACAAAGACAACAAAATTTTAATAAAAATGGAGGACAATACCAACTGAGATACAGAAAATATTACCACAGTAATTTTAAATGCCAGAAAACAAGAGCACACATCTACCACATTAAATCAATCAATCACAGAGGTTCAAAGAATGCTATTAGTTATGCCACACAATAGTCCAATATTTCAGCTGATAAAGATAAAATTGTAATTCACACTTTAGCTGGAATTATGAACATTTGGCTACTTATCTAGGAAGGGAAATATGGATTGTTGCCTAGACAACATTTGCCTTGGCCTGCTCCTTTTGGGAAGAGAGCCAGGTTTTACTGTAGTTGGATACTTATATAGGTTCATCCTTCTTTTTAGTAATTTTGCTTTTCACTTCCTTTTTGTCTTTGTAGATTTTATCAAATGTCCTACAGAGGATTTCCAAGGCTTAGAATCAGACTGTGACTCACTAAAGATTCATAGTCCCTTGGTCATTAGATTTATACATACAAAATTCAGTAAACACATCAGCACGCACTTGATACTGTAGGATAGCCCTGTTTGAATAAAATGTTAAGCATATCATTCTGCCCCAGGAAAGTGAACTGGCACACAATCCATATGGATGCCCCCAAATAAAGTCTTCCCTTTCCCCCACGGCAATCTCAATTTGTAAAGCACCTCTAGTCTTACCCAAAAAAAGGAAAAAAATGCTGATAATATGGTATATTTAATGGCCTCTTTGATCTTCACAAGCTAAATGGGAGAGATTTTCCTTCCTTGACCACAGTGGATACAATCCTCTAATCAAAAAGAAAATGTAAATCACTCAGGCTTTTTATGTTATCTGATATTCCCGTTTACAGAAGACATGATTTTATGCTGGGTAAACAAACTAACAGTCCCCCTAACACTAATTTACTTTTCTTAATGCGGATCTAGATTTCTTTGAAAGAAAAAAACTAATCCTGGAGAAAAAGCCTAAACTCCCATGCCTTGCTAATCTGTCATACTTTCAATTTTTTTTTAGTTTGCGTATTAAGGTGGAAAACTTTTTTGAAATTGTGTGCTATTTCTTTTCCAACAAGCGATGAGATGTGATCTCTTCTAGGAAAATGCCTGAATATTAACAGTCCATTCATTGGGAAATGGGATGACAAACTGTGTCCCATGGTGCCCTAAGCACTGCAGGATGACCTGCCTCTGGGCTTTGATGGGGAGGTTTCTCCTGGGTGCTGTCTTTTCCTATGAATTAACAGCATCTCTTGGCCTGGTCTTTCATCTGGCTCTTAAGTGTCACTGGATATGTACATGAGACATGGTGTTCTCCAGTAGGGCACACTCTAGACTTGGACTGGACATACCTGGGCTCAGGTTCTGAGCTTGCACTATTATGTATCAGTTGGCAAATGATGTAATCTCTGAGCCAGTCTATCTCATCCACAAATAGGGATAATGTATATTTGTTTTGTTTATTTCTCATGACTGCTTAATACTAAGGATCAAGATGAGGCAGCATATCTTAAAATGCTCTGTATTTGTGCTTATTTAACTTTTCATGAGGGCACTCCTGTCTCCTTTCCTAGATAAGGTCCTGGGTAGCAGGGAGTGTGGGTTATCTTCTTTCCCTAACCTCTGCCCTAATACACAGCATCACAACCTGGTCATAAAGGGTAAATAAATGCACCTCTAAAAATAGTCAACCAGAAAAAGTATTAGATGCTTTTATCTTTAAACCAATAGTAATAAAATCTAAAAATGCTGGAGTTTTTGGCACTAAATTAGTGATTTTTGGGTTTATCTTATACAAAGTGAAACACAGACTGAGTTGTGATTGTTCCAGGGGAGAAGAAAACCCAATTATTATCTTGAAGTACATAAAAAATTTTAACAAAGAAATGCGTTTTGCCATATCCATATATAGCATATATGGATATCTATCTATCTATCTATCTACCTATCTCTCTCTCTCTCTCTATATATATATATGTATCTATATATATTCAATTTACTTAAAGGAAAAACTGAACCTTATTCTTCACTCATTAGCTCCCTCATTGATTTGACAAGTTACTGAGAACTTAGTGAGCCAGGGGAATGCAGCGGTGAATGGCACAGCATTGGGCCCACAGCCTGGTGTGAATTCAGACAGGGAAACAAGCAATGTGCAATACGGAGAGGCAACTGCTCTGGTGAAGGGCACAGGAACATCTGGACTCAGGAAGCACATCTGCTCCTGGGTTGCCAAGTTGGGGAGAGCTTTCCATAGGAAAAAGTGGCACCGCTGAGACTTAGGCTAAAGAAGTATACGCCAGGCCAAGGTAATGGCATGGACAACGGAATGGAAGGGAGGTAGAATGTAGCACTCTCCCAGAACAAATTCTTTATGGATAAATTAGAAGGTTGGTGGGGGGAGGCTGAGGAATGGAGATCAAAGGTAAGCAGAGGTAAGATTTTTTTTTTGCACTACTGGGCATTGAACCAGGGCCTTCACACCCAGTTACATCCCTACTCCTTTCCTTTCTTTATATATTAGTTTTTATTTTGAGACCCAGGGCCTCACTAAATCACTAAATTGTCCAGGCATGGCTTGAACTTGCAGTCCTCTTGCCTCGGCCTCCAAGAGTCCTGGGATTACAGGTGTACACCACTGTGCCTGGATCAGAGGTCAGATCTTTAGTGACATTGTAAGCTCTATGTAAGAGTCTATACTACGCAAATTAACCCGAGAGTTTAATTAGTAAGAGAAGATTTAGTAAACATTTTTGGACAAAGTGATGAGTTTCTGGAAGGGTTTCTCTACATAGGCCATAAAGTCTTTGGAGGACTGTTTAGGACATGTAATCCTTCACATATACTGCTTAGAGCTGGGCTGGCCACCTCCTATGGTGCCAACCCTGGGACACACTGTTCTGCCACTTCGCTGTGGGTGGAATGTCGAAAGAGAGCATGTATCACTGTATGCTGATCTAAGGAAGACCTGTAGTAAATTTTCTCATTTTTCCTTAGAACAACTTTGAGGGAAGTACTGTTCTATTACTATCTCCATTTAACAGATGAGCAAAGTGAAGTTCAGAGAGTTTAGGAACATTTTCCAAGATTACAGAGCTACCAGTGGTAGCGCAATACAGGCCCTGGCAGTTTGCTCTGAAGCTGGCTGGGTACGTTTCACTGTGCCATGCAGCTGTTCCCATAAAAGGTCATGAAGAAAGCATGATGCTACATGTGCCTTAGGTGAGTTAGTGACTCATCTGGTCAGTCAACAGATAGGTTTTGGGTGCTTCCTTTTGCACAGGCACAAAACTAGGCATACAAGATACAGTGGTGAACAAAACAATCACACTGATGGATCTTTCTGCCCCCCCAGTGAGAAGCACAGGCTTTATACAATGTCATGATTAGCTAGTGAAATAGATGTGCAAAAGAAATACAAGATGTTATGGGTATTTGAACTAGTAGCATAGGGCTGGGGTTATAACTCAATGGTAGGGTACTTGCTTAGCATGCATGAGAGGTCCTGAGTTCAACCAACAGTACTGCAAAAATGAATGAATGAAGGAATATATAGGACATAACCTTGTTCACTGCTGAAAATATTTTAACTTCTTATCTTCAGATTCAATTGCTAGATGATATCTCGAAGTCCATTCCAATTCTATGACCCTATAATAGACTCACAAAAGAATCGATAATTGAGTATTGCCCACTGTCTTTTAAATAGGTAGTGACAATAGTTTGGATGTGAAATGTCTCAAAACAAAGAGCATATAGGGCTGGGGATATAACTCAGCGGCACAAGCATCTGCCTGGCAAGCGCAAGGTCCTAAGTTCAATTCCCAGTACAAAGAAAAAAACAAAACAAAAAAACCCTCCCTCCTCAACTTCCCCCCGCAAAAGCCTATGTACTGAAGGCTTGATTCCTAGCCCGTAGCACTACTGAGAGGTGGTTGAACCTTCAGGAGGTAGTGGAAAGAAGTTGGTGATCTGGGGGCATGTACTTGAAGGGAATACTGGGACCCTGGTCACTTTTTCTTTCTCTGTTTCCCAGCTGCAACAGGGGAGCAGGCTTCTTCTATTATGTGCTCCTACCATGACATACTGTGCTGGCACAGGCCCAAAGCAAGAGGGCCAGGTGACCATGAGCTGAAATCCTGAAACTGTAAGCCAAAATATATCTTTCCTCCTTAGAAGTTGTTTATCTCAAGTATTTTGTCACAGTGATGGAAAGCTGAATAAAAGGTAGTATTAAATGACTGGAGGAAATATGGATTCCCTGGCTTCCGTCTCTTCAGTTATACTAAGAAAGTTGGTGCACTTTGACTGGTCATTGAATTTAACAAGTATCAACTGATAATGGCATAACAGCTACAGTTATGGTTTAATGTAGATAACACAAGTGTTATCTACACTTTCTTTAGTCATACGTAATATTTGTGTCATAATTCTCTGAATTATGACATAAAGGATTGTGGTCCTGAGCAGAGTGTTTAAGGACAAGGGCCCTAATATTAGGATGCCTGCATGCAGTACTTGGTGCTACCAGTTACTATGTAAATGTGGACAAGTCATTTAACTTCTGTGCCGACCTTAGAATAAGGACTCAGTAGGAGCTGGAGATGCAAGTGTGTCAATGAGCTCTGTTCCTGGCCTTTATTTGCTGTGTGTTACACTCGGTCACCATGACATAACACTGTTGTGATATACTGTGCTTCCTGCTGATGGAGTCAAGGGAGTCTTCACTCCCTAGGGCTTAAGTTATTTCCATGGCACAGAGCTGTCCTGTGATGCTCTAAGTGGTACCCAAGTGGCCTGAAAGATTTAACATCTCTAAAAACTAGTTTTCAGTCATGACTTAGGC